ATTCAATATTAGCTCACCTAAAAGTGACTTAAAAGTAGAGATGCATAACAAAGACAAATAGCAGTGGCACTGGGGATCTTTCAGCCTGCTCTCAGCACTCCCTGCCTTTTCCCCTTTTCCTTCCCCTGAGTGTTCAGGACCACAGAATCTTTTTTTCAGGAAGTGGGCACCCGATTTTGCCTGTAACTGTTGGTATCCAACTTTGCTGGAGGAAAAAAGCTGAGATTTGAAGAGGGGAGTTGCAGTGGGTTTTACTGATGAGGGTGATGTGGTATTCTCTGGAATACTGTAACTTTCCTTTTCTCTGCAGGGTAGAGGTTCTCAAGATCAAATTCTGTCTTTAATTAAAATTTATTAATTCCTCAGGGACAGGACTATGCAACCTGCTTTCAAGATCTTGTAAGACCTTGTAGTAACTGAAAGATCTATTTAATCTGACTTTGCTTTATGTGTTTTACAAATGTAAGCTCTTCAAGGTCTCAGAAGCATTAGCTGAGCCTTGTTAATTTGTTTGTTGAGAAAATGTTTGAGGTCCTTGTCATGATGCTCTCCTGTTTCTGGAGTCACATTCACTCATGCAATCCCAATGAGATTTGGGTTCCTTGGCTGTTTAATGAGTATTTACTCCTTTTTTGCTGCCATTCCAAAGCTGTCCACCCAGGCTGCCTTTTCCTTTTGCAGGTTCTGGTTGTAAATTTGTGCCCCAAGGTGATTTTCAGGGAGAATGAAACATGAGGGAGCTTTCAGTCTCCTGCTGTGCATCTCATCTGCCAGGGCTGGGGACAAGCCCAGGGTAGAGGACCCAGCACCCAGCACCATTTTGTACTTAAATGTCAGCATTAGTCCAAGAAAAACTGTCTGGTTTTGTTGAATTTAGTCCTGAATCTTCATTTTGAGGTAAAACCCATCTAAGCTTTGCATGTACCAAAGAAAGAAACTGGATAGGCCAACCCAGCAATGTAATGAAACTCAAGCAGTTTGGAGGTGCAGAAAAGCAAGGCAGAAATGCTGTGGAGCAAATGTCCAGATAATTTTGGCATATTCAATCCTACTTCTTCTTGAGATTTACATAAAAATAAATCTGCAGCATCCTTTTAAGGACACAAGTCAGGATGTTGGCGAGTTTGGTAAGCAGACTTAATGAAAATTTACTGAAGCTGTTAATATACATGTGCCAACAGATTGGCACCTTATCCCTTTGCTCCTTCTTGCAACTCAAAAAGTTCTTTAATTACTATTACTTCTATTACTTTTATTTTTAAATCAGCATTGCTGAAGAGCCAGAGAGGCTGGAAGTATCAACACATTTAGAAAAAGCAACAGTGTATAGCATGAATGCTTACTTAATTTTATTTTTTTTTTTTTTTTGATAGGCAGAAAAATATTCTAGCCAAGAATAATAATTGCAGTATTTTATTATTTTTGGTTTTAGGACTCAGATAGTCTTTTCAGTAGTATTTTATTCAATTCTTGGAGAGTATAAACTAAAAATGCCTTCCTGGCTTCTAAACCCTTGGTTAGCCAAGGTTACCCTCCTGGTGAGCCCCTTCTGTGGTTAATTACTGAGTGCAAGGATCTCATACCTATTAACTGCCCCCTTGTGTTTGCTGTCCCTCAGCCAGTTAGTTCTTTCCCAAAACCCTTCTGAGACAGCTTTGATTTTTTTCCCTGCCAATTTTCCTGTTTCCCTGGGATGCTCTATATCAACCAAACTTTTCCTTGCAGATCCAGGTAAATTCTGTTTCCCATTACAGCTTAAAACTGTAAATAAAGCCCAGGGTGCAGCCCTTGGTTCCTGAGCCTGAGGTGTGAGCAGCCCTGGGCTGCAGAAATGCCAATGTCATCAAAGCTTCCTTCTGCAAGGAATTTTTGCTCTGTATTTTATTTTCATTTCTGCTTTCAGTGAATATTTAGTGAGCTCTGATTGCATAATTGAATTTGATAAACTGATGGTATGTGATTGATGAGAAAGTCAGGAATAAAGGATTAGAAGATAAAATTACTTCAAGGGTTTAAGTAAATCTTCCAGAGAGCCAGGGTAATTTATAAAGCATGCTATACTCTTTATAAAAATATTCCCGTAGGTCTATTAAATTTTAGCTTCTAACAGAACTGGATTGAGTTTTGAGAATCATTTTCATGTAATAACAGCTTGATTGTGATGCTTTAAATGGCAGATAGCTCTGAGTGGGCTGCAGCATCACTGGGTTTGGAATATTTGAGTAGGAAATATAGGGCTGAATGAAGACTTGTGGGCAGCACTTTGTCTTCCAAATGCATAATCTTTTTCTTGGAAAGACATAAGTTAGGAGTAAGTGGATAATTCAGAGTAAGTAATGAAGGAGGTTGTGCTGCTGAGTCTGTAAATCACTGAAAACAAGGATCAACAAATGACTCAGTTTGGTGCAGACACCACTTCCACTGAGCTCTCCCTCAGTGACTGCACTTTCTTTGGGAGGAACAGTTTAGGGAACTCATTCCAGGAGCCTCTGTACATGAGCAGGTAAGTGTTGTTTTCAGGAGACTCAGCACGAATCGTTTCACTTTACCAGCTGGGCTCTGTTATCTTCCCCTGAACACCAGCACTGCTCCCAGCTGCTGCTTTTCCATCTCCTGAGGAAGCCTGGCACCTTTAATCTTGCCAGGGTAGAATGTCTGCAGCTCCCTTGGGAGGCTCCCCAAAATACCTTTGACAGGATTTAACATTTTCTCTCTTGTTTAGAAATATCTTTGTAAAAATTTGCTTTTCTCTCTGGGTGAAATAACTGTTTTTCGCAGGAACATCCTCTAATTCCAACTTAAATTTTTCTTTATAACATTTAAAATATTGGCTGGTTTTACTAGTTAGGAGACAATGAGAATTGGGATAAGATGATTTCACAATAATTGCAGTCATTAAAACAACAACTAAAGAGAAGCTTTGCAGAATATATTTTCAGTCATGTAATAGTGTGGAGAAGTGTAAAAACTCTCCTTGGCTTGTCTGGGAATATCTGCTAGTTTGGAGGTGTTCCAATTTTCTCATATGTTGGATTGTTGTAGCTTCCTATACAGCCAATTTAGAGAAGATACTGCTGATCTGCACTCATCACAAATCAGTTTCTTTGAAAGACAGGTTATTTAAAATGCTACAAATCAGAAAAGGGCCCTACCCCAAATACGGTTTTTATTTCAGTTTGTTAGATTGATTTTGTGTGATAGTTTATAAGTGTTGCTTTAAGATTATGTGGTTTTTCTTTCTGCATAAATGACTGTGTTCCTGAGGTTAAATTCTAAGAACTCAGGAGAGAATGTGTCAATCCAAATCACCAGATGAGTGGGGAGCTGAGGTTGATTTATGACCCATTGCAGGAGATATTTGGCACCAGTGGGCCTGGGGCTGCCTGGCCACGCTCAGCTGGAGCCAGCTCTGACCCTTCAGTGATAACAAGGCTGTGCTGCCACGTGCTCTGCACTCAGAAACCTCCCCTGAGAAAAGGGAAAGACAGAGGCTTGGAGATTTTGACAATCCCCAGGCTGGGCTGTGAACCCCAGGGGAGCACCAGGGTCACGGGGAAACCTCCACCAGCACCCCCTGGCCCAAACTCCTGGGGCTGCCAATGATTCTGTGGGCTCAAAAATTCCAGCCTTGAACAGCACATGGGGGCACTCCAAACTGTAAAATTAGGTTAAACTCTTTAAATATAAAATGCCTGAGTATATATAAAATGCCTGAGTATATATAAAATGCCAAGTATAAAAATGAAATATAATTATTTAAACATAAAATTCCAAGTATAAAAATGCCTGAGATTTTTGTGTAAAATAAATGTTTAAAGGAAGGTTTGCAGTTCAACTGAGCCATTACTTGCACTGGGACAACATTTATGTATCTTGGGATTTTTTTCTGTATTTTATATATAAAGTACACACACACACACCCTGCACACTTTAAAGAAGAGCTCAGTATTGTCTACTTATTCAGTATTATTAATATTTTCTATAAAAATTCTGTCTTTAAATATAACTCTGGTGTTTTATGTGTAATCATAAAATCCTGAAAGGATTTCCAGGCCAGGTTGGATGGAGCGACTTGGTCTAGTAAAGGTGTCCCTGCCCATGGGAGGGGTTGGAACTGGATGAGTTGCAGCACCCCTTCCAGCCCAGGCCATTCTGTGCTAATTTTGCTTATAGAAGGTATTTGTGTGCTTCTAAAATTAAGCCTATAGTTCCTTTAGAGTTACAAGTAGAAATTCGACACATAAAGTGTAAAAAGTCTTCATCTTCCAGAGGTGATGGGGGTAGATCTCCAGCAGGTGTGGACTCAGAATCAATCTGTATTTGAGCAGAGCTTTGGCAATTTACCCATCAAGAATTTTGCTGCTTGGAGTGTTTTATTTGTGATATTCAAGAGTTTGCGATTAGAAGTGACCCTTGCATATTACTGAAGTACCCTAATTCAAAAATCTGTTAGTGGCTTCAGGTAATATAATTTAACACATTTTGGTTTGCAAGAACATTGAAAAATACTTGTGAGGTGTTTTTTTCTAAATTCTTTTCCCTATCAAGAATCTTCATTTACCCTGAGACTTCTCCTGCTGTGATAATCATTTCTATCCAAGATTACACTTCTGGTTTCTATTCAAGAAACTTTTTAAAAAAAGGATAGAAAAAGAAAAGCTTTGAGTAGATTTAATCCTCAAAAAGGAGAAGGGGGGAAAAAAGCCAGTAGGGTTGTTCACTTCCTGCCACAGCAGACAATGTTGGAATTCTCATCTGGGGAAAGAGTAAACATGGACAAAAGCTTGTCTGGGTGGGCAAGGACAAAGTTTATCAAGATCTTGGTAATTCTGCCCCTAAAGATAAAGCTTAGTTATGAATGCACCAGTGCAAGCCTTAACTGAATCATGTTGTTTCTTGTTTTACCATGACTGTGTTGAGGAGAAATTAGCTAAATATCAGTGCTTTCTCCTATATTTTCCTAAATAGCCTCCAAACCCATTTTTTCCTTTGTATTTCAGGGGATGTTGCACCATTCTTCAAGACAGAACCAGGCTTGCCCCAGATCCACCTGGAAGGAAACAGACTGGTCCTTACGTGCCTTGCCGAAGGCAGCTGGCCCTTGGAATTCAAGTGGTTGCACAACGACAGTGAAATCACCTCCTACTCCAGTGAATACAAGTAAATAACATCCATATAATCACCTCTGCAAGTGGAATTGCAAACAACAACCCCAAACCAAACCCCACCCCCTCAGTTTCCCAATGCCTCAAAGAGCTTTGTAGATACAGACACAGGGGCTTGGGGGATTATTATGAAAGAAGAGTAGACTTTGTAAACAGATGAGATTCCTTTGCTAAAAATGAGATTTAATGCTTCAAAACATGGGGAATTTTTAAGAGGTGCCTTTTGCTGGAGATGTAACTTTTACCTGTGTTTGTGATAAATAGGAGACACATTCCATAGCTAAATGTTACATATGATGTGTGAACTCATCCTTGAACAGAGCCAGGCTCGCTGGGACTGTCCGTCTCCATCAGATCTAGAGGAATGTGGTCTGTCTTAAATTCCACACAAAACTTTCTGTTTCAATTCTAGCAATTCCAAAAGGGAGCTGATATTTTAACAAACTACCCTTTAATGATTGTGCAGTTTGCCCCCAGGACCTCCCTCCCCATCCCACAGACATTCCATCAAACAGGAGCTAAACCACAGCTGGCTTATCAGAGCTCATTCCTACTGATAGGCAGCTCATGGCTGGCCAAGGACCAACGTGCCAGACAGCCAAGTTTTGTCTGCTTTTCTCTCAGGTGGGAGGATTGACTGGGTTTTCTCTGTGCAAACAGAAATTTCTGTACCCTTACGGAAATTTAATTTTTATGCGACTTATTTGGTGCTTTCTAATTGTGTAGAATTTGCCAGATGAGTTCAGACATTGTGAGGGGTGAGTGTGTGACAGAGAGAGCCCAGACAGAACACCTGTGCCTTTTGCAAAGCAAGCTAAATACTGCATTTTTGGGACACAAGGCTTAAGGTAGAGAAAAGTTATGCCCTATCACTATAGACAGAAATTACAGTATGAGTTAGTATGCAGATAATGAGATAAAGTTCTATATTGTTACACAAGGTAATACATAATTAATTTTCTCAAAGATTTTCAAAATTTTAACCCAGCACTAGTTCTGTTTTTGATGTTATTTACATTTACAGAGTAGTAGGGGAAAAAATTCCCTTAAAAAACTTTTTAAAACTTGTGGGGGTCATTTAGCATTTCAAGTATTTAGCAACTGTTTAAACCCAAGCATTTAGTTCTATCTGAAGTTACCTAAAAATGCAAGACTTGATTTGGAGGAGCCCCCTTAGTCCTGAGTCCCTGCATCTATTCATGGTCGCTGCTTTCAAGCCTTTGGGAGGTGGATTATGAGCCACACACACATAAAGAGGAGATTTGTGAATGCTTTCTAGAAAATGAAAAGATCTCTAATAGCACAACAAATCACAGAATGTTTGAGCATGGCTTTGTGCAAATGCCACTTGTTTTGATCAATGGCAGCAGAGTCAGTTGCAGTGGCTGGGCAGAAGGAGCTGGAAGCAGCCCTTGACCATGGGAGATGCTGAGAGAGAGGGAGGAAAAATGGTGTGGGGGGACAAACACATGGACATGGAATGAGCAGCAAGCAAAGGTTAGAACTCCAGCCCTGTAGGTGTGCTAGGCACTGGGAGATGACATTTCATGGTATTAGGAGAAACCTGGGTAAGAATGTGTGACATTTTGAAATAAGACCTGAGTGCTGTGGTATTTCTTAAACAAGTGGACATCCCAATACAAAATTGGAATTTTACTGTGTATGGCAGTGTGAGTCAGTTATTAGAACACCTTTCCCAAGCTGTGTGTGCACATGCCTGCAGTCAGTCCCTTGTTTCTTATATTGCATTTAATTTGTTCTTGTGAATGTCAGGTCATGATTCCAACCATATTTATTAATTCTGCATTTTTTTATATTGTTATTTCTATTTCTCATTAAAAGATCTGGCGCAGAGGAAGCTGCTGGTTTATGATAATATTATTGATAGAAAATATTAATTTAGAAATTGCATCCCTACTGCTACACCACAGCCAGAGATCAGCTAAACAGGATTTTGATTCTGTAGAAATGCAAAGCTTTAAGCTTCCAAAAAATGACATAGGTGCATTAGGATGAATGAAAGCAAGGAAAAGATATGCTCAGACATAAAAATTGCAGTTGCAGAATTTAACCTTTGACCCCATAACAGTTTGCTGTGCAGTTCTCTTGGGTAAATAGCCTGTTTAAATGCACGAATCTTCCTGAGTAAGTGACTTCTGCTGCAATTTGAATCATCAATCAAAGATTTTTTGGTAATTGATATTACTTAGTGTGTCTCAGTTAAAGTAATGTCTACATTGTAACAGGCTGAAATATATTATTATAACAGCCCAAGTGAGTAAAGAACTAATTGGAGCCTTTGCATTGTGACATTGGTGACCCTGAGTGAGCAGCTCCTCTTTGTCTAACGAGGCTGGTTGTGTGCACAGCCCAGTGTTTACAGTGACTGTGCATGCACCACTTTGTGTTAAGTGTTTATAAAACAACCTTAGAAATTCTTTGTGATCTGAGATCCACCTTATGATAACAAATCGATGCTGCTGACTGCAGGAGCAATTTTGGTCGTGTCTATAGGTTAAGAGACTTTAATGTTCAGGCAGTGCCTTTTTTCTGTTTTCTTTTTTTCCTCCCTTTGTTTTCTTTTGAATTAAGTTCTTGACCAGGTGTGTCTGTCATATTCGCTTTTGTGGCCTAAAGATATTGATTTATTGGAATTTAAGAAACTATGGTCGTGTCTAAGCAGCCATACACTTTCAACCAAACTACTTAAAAGTATCTAATTGTTATGTTTTAACAATGGACACATTTCAGTTTTCTTCTGTATTTTAAAAGTCATATCAGTTGATCCATAAGTCTTTTGTTAGAAAGCTTGAGTAGATAAAAAGTAACATGAATATCTAATAAAATACACTTAACTTTAATTCTGTATCCATAATTATGACTATTAAATCCCATAGCCTATAGCTTCACTTTCAACTCTTAGGGCATTTAAAATTAAAATGAGAGTTTAAATTTTAGATTAGGAGTGAACTGTAAGTGTTGGCTGGGATTTCTCCTTAAGTGGCTGATGCCACTCCCTCCTGGAGCTCTTTGCAGAGGGGTGATGGAGCACATCAGGCTCAGGGAGACTCCCCTTGAAGCTTCTCTTTTCCGCTTGTCGCTTCCCATCTCTCTGCAGAACCTTCCCAAACTCCAGGTTCTGCTTGGCTGTGCCATTTAAAATGAGGGAAAAGTCAGGGCTGACTTTCCAAAGTCCTTGCAGACATTCCCAGGAACATCAAGAAGCCTCCATACAAAACCATGACACATCTCCACAATGGGAAGATATGTCTCCAAAGTTTGAGCATAGACAAAAATAAAGCAAAATTCTGTCTTGTCACTGAAAGGAATTGCATTAACCTTTGATTTCAGTTCATTCAGGGAAAGAAAGTCTTATTTAGAACTTAGAAAGCCTATTTATATCTCTTCATGCCAGTCAGAAAACAAGTGGAATGGGAAAAGCACAGCACAAAAAGCAGTATCAAGGCTGTAAGGTCAATAGAAAAGTAGGTTTTAAAACAATAATAAGACATATGAGGTGCATAAAGATTGTTTAAAATTGTAAACACAGAATCAGAAATTCCATTAATATTTATCCCTTGCCCAGGTTTGCAATTTTCAAGGTAGTCTCAAACAGTATTAACACATGTCCTATCTCTTTTTTCCACATTTAATTCTTCTAACTTTGCTTGCTGTACCTGCACATTATACCCAGTAGGTCCACTGAGAATCCAGCTGCTCGAGGTTTTGGCTGCCTTGGAATTTCCAAAGTAGATGGGATTTTCACTGTAAATTTTTAAAAGATTTTCATTTCTTCAGGCAACATGTTAAGAATGTTTCCTGCTGAAACTTTAATAAGTCAGAAAAGAAAACCAAAGTAGGACACTTCTGATCTAATTGATTTGTTTTGTCCTGGTGGCAGCAAAACTAAATCTGCATTACTGTCCTGGTGCAGATGAATACTCAGGAAAGAGGCCTTTAATTTTGGCTTAATTTAATAGACAAGGTATTAGCCAAGTAGGACACTAAATCTTCATGGGAGAAAGGAAGGTTGTTGTATAACTGTTGGGTAAAAAGAACTATAAAAATTCATTTTCAGTATTTGTCACAATCTTCAGTTCTTTTTATTTTTTTTTAAATAATGATGTTTTCCAACAATCTTCTTCTTGACAAAGAAGGAAATGATTTTGTAAGGATCTAGAGAAGCCTCTTGTCCTATTGATTTCTCCCTTTGTATTTTCACCTGCTCTCTCACTCTGTTCCCCATGGTGAGGCTCATCAGGCAAGAGGAAACAACATTCCTGCTTCAGAGTCATTGTTTGTGTGCTGGGGCTGCTGTGGCTCCGTACAGAGCACAGGTTGGAACCCTCCTTTTCCTCCGGCCACAGCCACGGGAGGGAATGTGCTGGTGGCTCCTGGGCAGGTCCCAGCAGTGACCTGGGGAGGTCACAGGAGCCACAGCACATATCCAAGGGCAGCCAGGGGCTCCTGGAAACCCCAGGGATGTCTGAAGCTTGCCCATGCTCTTGGGCTCTGGTGTGTCCCCTGTGTTTGGTGTTGTAACCCAATTGCTGGGCTGTGTTTTGCGATGACACCAGAATCTTCTGCCTCCTTTGTTTTATGCTCCCCGATCCTGTTCAGGCATTAAGCTCGTGGGTGTGTTCAATATATTTGAGTCTAAGAAGAAATGTTTTCTTTTAGTGGAATTAAATTTAGAAGATTAAAATTCAGCAGTTTTCCTTTTCCTTATCTTCCATAAAGACTTTCGTTAATCCTGCCATAATATCTCCTGAAGGTGACTGGGGGAATATGCACTTGTGATTAATGTTTGTTTAATGCAGGATTATCTCTATTATTCATGTGTTTTATTCCCATTAAAACTGTGCCTATCAGCTCATTTTCATGTTGAGCAATCAGATGTAGCTGAATGAGGAAGGTGAGATTAGTGGACGGAGTGTGTGTTTGAAGGGCAGAGCAAACACAAGGTACAGCACAAGGTGGCACTTCCAGGATTCCTGAGTTCCAGTGGTCACACAGTGGAGCTTTCATTGGAAAGCTTTGATACTTCTTGCAAGTCTTCCTAATACCTACACTTAAGCTTCTTGTGGCTTCTCTGAACTAATTACCTGCTCTCCCTTATGAATGAATGTAGAGAAAACTAGGGGAAAAAAATTAAGTCGGTCTTTCATGTGTATTTTTTATATACTCGGCATTTATCATAGACAGAACTGAAGACTTAAAGGTATTTTCATGCATTTCGTGTCGGCTGCTTTTTAAAAACCTGTATGTAACAGACAGTACTGTAACCAAAGACCTGAGATTACACAAGAATGCTGTTTGTAAGAAAAAATACAATAAGCATTTAAGACAAAGTGCAAACCAGGAGGAAGTGCTCTCTAATTGTGCCTTTTGCCCTGCAGGTACATCATCCCAGCTCTGCAGAGGGCTGATGCTGGCTTCTACCAGTGCATCGTGAGGAACAGGATGGGGGCACTGCTGCAGAGGAGATCCCAAGTCCAAGTGGCATGTATGTCTGAGCGGGGGTCACTCTGTGACTCATTGGCTTCTTTTGGGGTAAAAAACCTGATGTATGATGACATTTGTCAGTCTGAACAGGTGTTAAATATCAGGCTTAACAAATTTTTTCAATTACTGCCTCGTAAGAATTTCATACTTGAGTTGTCATCTGGAAGCAGCTCAGAGCAGTGCAACACAGTCTTTGAGCTGTTCAAAGCCATGAAAATGAGATTGTTTGGAGATATCTGTAGCATGAGAGAACTGTTATACTTTATGGAATTAAGGAAGGCCATGCACAAAACTATCAAAACAACAGCAACAACAAGAAAAATTCTAGAGGAAAACAGCAGCATCTAAAGGGAATGGGATGGTGGAATAGCACCAGGAAGATTTCACATCCTAATCCTTGAGGTACAAAATCAGCAGTTTTGCAACAAAACTTTAAAATTCTGTTCTCAACGCCTTTCTTGAGCAAAGCCCCCCAGTGTGTTTGCCCCACTTCAGTTTGGACTTTGCAGAATTTTTGAAATCCAGCTGCCATTTGGAAAGGTTAAGTTAGTTTTCTCAGATGTTTGTGCTAGTGAACGTGACATAAGAAATGATCACATACCCTTGATTTCCCTTTTTTCCAGTTAACCTGTAGAAAACAAAATTCAAGTAACATTTTTGGAAATAATAAAAAAGTTAGGCCTATTTTTTTTCCCAAAGTAAAGGCATAAAAGAAATTTTAAGAGACAGATTTGTGTGCTGTGCCTAAGAAGTCTCATTCTGGATCAAATTCCTCCTTGTTGGGGTCGGTAACTGGAAATTCGGTAGTAGTAAATGTCAGTTGATAAGCAGAATTTAAAGAAATTGAATTATTTATTAGATACCCAATTTGAATGAACTGATTCAAGTTAATCAGTATGTCAATAAGGGAAATTACATGGAATTTCCTGTGTTTTAAAATAAAACCAGTTGCAAATGGCATTTATGTAAGTTTTGGTATCATGTTCATCAGTTTACTGCATACAGTAGATTTTGTTACTATATCTGTAGTGTCAGTGATATCAGTAATTTAATGTTTGGTCTCCCTATTGTTTCAGAGCTGCTGGGAGCTAAAGTAAAAATAAACTGCTGCTAAAATGGCGTTTTCCTTCCCTGACCTCTGCCAGCCCTTGTGCCCCTGCTGGCTTCTGACCATGGGCTCACTCTGACCTGGCTCAGACCCTTGCAAGTATTTTTCCAAATACTCCTCTGCAGATTTAGTGAATTCTGTCAGGTCACAGAGGATCTACTGCAAGCTGCTGAGAGTGAACAGAACTTTGAGTGAGGTGTGGGGCAAGCAGGGGGTTTAGAGGGGAAAGGAAGGGTGAGGTTCCTCTTCTTGAGCAGCACTGAGCCTTTGGAGGAGCCTGGATTCCTCTGGAGCTGCATCTCCAGGTGTGGTTTCAGGGGACCAAGGCTTTGGTAGCAGTCCCAGGGAAAAATGTGCCCATTTCCTCCTGCATCCCACTAACCATTCCCACTCCTGGGCTGCAGTAGAGCTCACTCCCCTTTAGGCTCAGCAGGAAAATGCGTTTGAGCAGCTGTGGGCTGGGAGACTTCTCCAAAATTCCTAAAAGAGCAACACTTCTTTTGTTGGGCTGGTAAAGTTCTCTCCCAGCTCCTCCCGACCCAGCTGTGCAAGCACTTGTATTGGCACAGTGCAGGGAACAATTCCTCAGGAAGCCCTGGTGGGAACAATAGTGAGAAGGACACACAGGGATGCTTTTCCTTGATGCTGCTGCAGAATTCTGTCTCCTGAAATGCCAACTTCATTCTTCTCTGAAGGGTGGAAGGTTTGCAGTGCAGAGTTTTGTCTCTCCAGGCTGGTTTGTGTGTTCTGGAAAGAGTAAGAAGTGCAATTTTCTTCAGTTTTAGTTTCCCCCCATTTAATTTCTGGATCCCTGAAGGAGGCTTAAAGGTTCTCTCTTAAATCTGTGTGAATTAGGCAGTCTATGTATTAATTCATTAATTCATTTCTTTTCACTGATGAAGACAGGGCAAAGCAAACCAGATCCTGTGTGACTTTGTGAGACCTTTGGTGTTGAGTCTTTGTGACATCAATGGCTTCTGTAGTGAAATTGCCAGTCAGATTTGCACTTTATTCCTGTAGATTAAAGTGTTCTACAAGTTTTAAATAACCTCTTTCCCCTTCACTCAGGGTAGCTACTGATGCCATGGGATTGCTTTCTGTGTTTTAATTGCTTTTATATAAATTAATTTATTTAAGCTGAGTGGATGTAGTGAAGTTCCTGATATTTTATCATATATTGTTTTTTGGTTATTCTTCAAAGCATATCAGAAAGGAACATTCCAAGGGGTTCCTAAAATCATCTTAGCCACTCATCAAAAACTTATGGGGTTTGAAATGTTAGTCTTTTAACTCAGACAGATTGACAATAAACGATCTATTTTTGCCAGTGAGTAGAGGATGCTTCCCAATACACTTCAACTCAAGATCCCTAGTGAAAAATTGAAAGGTGTAATTATAATGGCACTGAGAAAGATCTGAGGTATTTTCCATGTCCTAGATATCTGAAGTAGCAGGGAACTTGTTAAATAATTTAAAAAATATTTCAACACATGCTAACATATTACTTAACTGAATGGGAACAGATATTTGTGAGAAAACTGCTGAGTAAATCTTAATTACAGGATGGGCTTAAAAACTCCTGTATTGTGAAAACTAAAATAATCACACGACAGTGAAGTTAATTAGATCCACCTCCGCAGTTTGAAATTTCTTTTCAAGTAGCTGATCTGATTACAGTTGTAAGGAATCTGGAGCAGCAGAGGAAGTACAATGCTGATTATGTCTGAATAAATAACTTGAAAACCACAAAGATGATTAAAGCTTCTTTAAAATACCATGTGTTTTTAATTTCTGCTCTTGTTCTGTCTCTTCTCATCTCCTGCCCATTCACAGACCTGATAGTAGTCATTTCTTCTCTGTGTCCTTTGCATCCCTTTCTGCAGCACAGAATTTGTAGAGAACACTGTTGTCCTTAAAAAAAAAGGGAATTCGGTGACAGAAGCTAGAAGAGTTCTCTGTTGTGCATGTGTCAGTTTCCTAGTTTAAATCAAATTAAAATGCAGAGAAGTTCTTTGGAGGGTGAAGAAGTAAGAGCCTGCAGCCCTATTCACTTTAATGGATAAGAATGCAGTACAAAAGGCAATGGAAAAACAAGAAAAAAAACACTCACTGAATTTCTCCAAGGTCTCTCCAGATACCTGAACTTGCCTGTGAAGAAAAGCCTGCAGAGGCAGAAGTTCTGCAAGGGTAGCAGCATTTCTTCCATTAGAACTTTTGTTAAAAGCTGCTCTCCAACACTAGGGATGCACTATTGACCTTGAAATGTCATGCCAGGAGAGCTGGCAGCCCCCAGCATGACCTTGGGATTCCAGGATCATTTTGGGATCCTTGCCTAGGTCTGACTCTGTTGGCCTGGCTGCAGTGGAAGAGCTGCTTGTCTGTTTGTGTGGCTGTGGATAAAAAACAAAAAGATGACCAAAAAAAGGATGCATTTATTTACACCATGAGCATCCCTTTGAATTGCAGGAGTTTCTTTTTTATTATTAAGGCTTTGTCTGGAAAAAAATCCAACCAAATGAAAAACCAAAGCAAGCAAACCTCCATTAAAACATCATTTTCAGTAAAACCCCTCAGTTACTGCCCAAGAGCACAGGGGCCACACAGGGCTGCTCATGGATGCTCTGCCTGTGTGCAGCAGCAGCACTGGGGTTTCCTTCATCTGCCTCTATAAGCCAAAATCCCCAAATTCCAAACTGTCCCACGATCCACAGTGTCCCATGAGTAATCACCAGTGCGATGTCGTCATCTCATTGCAAAGCTCCCATCCCTGCTCAGTGATTCCTCATGGACAGCACCTCACCACACTGACTCCTTCTTCCTCACAGCACAACCAACAAACTCCATCACCCTCCTCACCCAGCTAACCCACTCTTTTATAGCACTCATCTTCTTATTGGACACAGCTGTGTTTTATTAAGGGCAGGCCTGTTCCTAATTTTTGGTGATTAGAACAGGTGCAACTCCTCAGGTGTGAGACTACCTTCTGCACTATCTTTATTTTCTTACATTCTATCCCTCCACAGTGGCAAACGTGGTGATTTCTCTGCCTCCTGAAAAGAAATGGGGAGAAAGGCCAAACTTCTCTTTTTAATTTTTTACTTTTTTTTTTTTTTTTTTTTTTTCTGCAGACATGGGAGATTTCATGGACACAGACCAGAGAAAAACAGTGACTGAAGGACAAGCTGCTGTTCTGAACTTCCCACACATCCTCAGCCACCCGAGGCCCCAAGTGACTTGGTTTAGAGACGGGCACAAGATTATACCAAGCAGCAGAATGTAAGTCAGTGTAAAGCTCAAAATACACCCACCCTAAAATATGATTAATTATATTTGATAACACAGCTTACATTTTAAGTACACTAATTAAGGTTTAAAGAGAATAAAGTAGTGATGTTCATACTAAGTTTGAGATAAATTACTATTTTAAGACTGTCTCTGAACTTCTGAAGCTGTTTGACAAAATAATTCATGTGGTTTTAATGGTCCTGGTGCAGCATAAGGGGCTGGATGTGCAGAATGTCTGAGCTTCCTTCACGCTATTCATTTCCATGATACATTTTGGAAAAAGGAATGTTCTTCTCTCCATTATGTTTACTTGAGTGCACTAACTTAATGAATTCTGAGGTTTTTTCTTTTAAAACTAGAATCTGTGGGGTTTGTTACAGAGTTATGCTTAGTACTATTTTCCTCACAATAAATTTCTGGATATTGTTTTTTCTTTTCATTATTTTTTAGCCAACAATGACAATTTAATTTATTTTTTTACTAATTAGCAGCTCACCCCTAATGACACACTACTTGCATTTTGATTAGTTATTATCTCAAGGTGTGCTCATTTATCCTATTCTGAAACAGTTATGAAGCCAGCCCATGTTTTTATCTGCACAGTTTCATTCAGAGACGGAAGGGCTTGGCTGTAACATTAAAAAATGTGGATTAAATCTTGTCTCATTTATTGGAAAGCTGTTGAAATGCCAGGAATGTTGCTAGTTAGTTTTTAACTGTGCATTACATTTTCATGTGTTCAAAGGGATAGATGTGCTAGCAAATTATGGTGATGGGATATTGCTGTGTTCCAGGAGTGCTTTAGAGTTCATATTAGAGAGGGAAAACTTCTCTTAAATTTGAATTTCCTAATCTGTGCAGTATATTTTACTGCTATTTGCCTTTTTGAAATCTGAGTGCTGGTATTAGAGTAGCTTTGAAATTGTTAAAATTAGTATTGCAGGGATGTGAAGAAACAATGTAATAATTTATGAATAATTTAATAGCAATTTGATGGGAAACAGCTGGAAGATGAAACAATGGGTTCCTGGGCAATCTCCTGAAGAGAGCTAAGTGACAAATCCTGAGTTATTAACCATTAAGGATCTACTTGTGCCACATTACAAATTTTGTGTTGTCGATGCTGAGAATACACAGATCAGGGATTTGCAGACAGCAACAAGGCCTTGTTATCCTGATATCTGAGAGTTTCCTGGGGATGCTTACAGGAACAGAGCAGAGTGACCAAGCCAAGCCTGCAGGGCCTGACAATGAGATTGGCCTGAGTTCTCTGACAGTTTGGGAAAATTGCAAGTAGAGCTGTGTATGTCATGTATTTGTTAATATAAAGATCCTGATTTTCTCCTGCTGTGCTTTCCTCTTGCTCTTACCCCTTTGGGATTGCTGGGGTAAAATCACCTCTAACTGTGAGAACTGCAACCCTGGCTACAGCAAGGCTGAAATACACCTCAAGGTTTCCATATAAATTCCATTTCTCTGGTCAGAAATTTTGTCTAAAAGGGACACTTGAGGACATTTGTCTGATCTGTGTAGGAACCTCTGAGTACTTCAGCAGCTGAAATGCCCATGCTGGAAGTGTGAGCCTGCTTGGAAGTTTGATAGATGGTGCACAGTGAGTCTGATACGTTCAGGAGGTGACAGATTTATGGTACACACACCAATCATCAGAGCTCTCTGTGTGCAGTAGGTCTCAAAATACTGGAAAAACCAGAGAGCTTCCACTCACATCTTGCTGTCCATGAAATTTGGGCAGTAAATATGGCAGCCCTGTAAATACAGGGAAGTGAAGAGGATGCATATAAAACTGTGAGAAATGGAGAAATATCTTATGGGAACTGTTTCTTACCTGTGGAGCAAGTTGTGCATTTCAAATGCTTTTTGTGCACCTGGAGGGATCAATTTCCCCGATCAGTTTAGCCAGTGATCCAGTTAGGCTGATGCATCAATCTCACTGGATCTCCTGCTAAACTGATCAGGGAAATTGATACAACCACCTTGTACGATGCTCTTTAATCTGATTAAAAGTACCTTATATTGCTAAATCAATACAAAGCTTTTTTAATGCTCTTAAACAAGCTTACAATGATTTGGCTGAATCAATCAGCCATAATTTCATGTGTCAGCTGTAATAATGACTTCTAGGAGTGACATTGCTGTGGTGCATGAGGAGTGAGGACATAAACAGTGCTAAAAATAGAGAGAACAGTGGTGGTTATGGTGAAATTCATTCAAATAGTTGGTAGAGTTAAGCCTTACTCATGCAAAAGCCTTAAATGTGCTTAACACTACACTATTTTTATGCCATAAAAATGATCCTCATGTTTGTGTGTATGGATTTATCTCACAGATGTGGGAACAGAGTTGTCCTTAGGTGAGAAGTACTAAAGATCAAAAGTAACATTAGTTCTGAGAATAAAAAATAGGAAATTCTTAAGATGTTTCAAGGAATGTCATTTAATTGGCTCTGCGGTAAGGCTTTCCTAGGCAGGCTTAAGGTGCTAAATGCTGATGTATTTCTCCTTCAATGTGTACCACTATTTAGGACACTTAGGAGAGAGGCCCTGCCAGCTCTTCAGCATCTCTGGGAAACCTGTGCCAGGGCCTGAGAACAGGAGAAAATGAGCAAGGAGAAGAATTAGGGTTTGAGGTGTTTGTTATTATTCTACATTCCCCAAGAAGTTCTAGGAGAGACTTCACATTACACCCAGAGAGGTTCATTTCCAAACACACCAGCAGAGAAATGTGGAGTTACAGCTGCACTGTTATCCAGGCTCTTGACTGATGGGATGATTTTGCCTGTTTCCCTGCACATCTTACCAAAACTAGCAGCTCTCTAAAGGTGACTGCATCAAAAGAAATTGCTACTCTGGGATATCAAGTATTCTGCTTGCCTTGCCTGCCTGTACTTCATCAGGTTTAAAAGCAAAGAACATTTAACTTTCTTTACATGAGCACAAACAGTACCTTGGAGCTGCACAAAGGACAGTGGCACCATCAAGGTCTACAATTTCCTTTCACTTGTGGCATTGAGGAATTAAATTCTTAGCACTCTTAGAGGGTTTTTTACCTTTCTCTAAGTGAAGGATTTTTCAGAGAAAAGGTTCATTCCAGCCATCAATTCATTTAAATCACTTTCTTTAAGAAGAAAACTTCTATGCTGATGTTATTACTGTCTTCATTAACTTCCTTACAGTGAAACTGCTCTTCCCCATGTAGGCTGCAGTTAGATGAATATTAACTCATGTCTTTTGACAGCAGAATTATGTCTGACACAAAACAGGAAAGTTCATTTTTGGTGTATAAAGGCACTCCTGGGGTGTCCCTTTCAGCAGGATGGACGTTTAGTCCCTTCATTAACTCCTGAGGAACCAAAAAGCTTCAAAGTGCACTCATCCCCCTAGGCAGGAATGTTTGATTGCACTTTATTCCGGTACACAAGGGTTAATATCTGTGTTCTGCACTCAGATCAATTCATTACTGGATGGATTTGGTCATTATTAACTCTTAGAGACTGAAGTTGCTGGCAGGTCTTGGAAATTAAAACACATCAAGCAAGCGACTCTCTCATGACTTGCTGTGGTTTTGAGCACTCACAATACTTTGCAAATAGGCAAAGCTGGTGCAAATTTATTCAGCATTTGTTAAAGTAAAATTGTAAGTGTATTAATGGCAGCCTCAAAAAAAAAGTAGTTGTAGCTAAGTAGGCATTAAAATATGAGAAAAATTAAGGTATCTAGGAATAATACATCAAATTTGGGGCTGATAATAGCATTAGATTAGGTTTTGCTTTGATGATAGCAGCTGACTTAATGTTCCATGTATATATTTTTCGCTTTAAAACAAACGCTACTTCATTTTTCTGTGAGCAGTTCTAGTGGCACAGAGCATCTCTCTGCAAATTCCAGCCTGTCATACAACTTAAGCCAGTTGCACATAATTACTTTTCACATACACTGGATAATACTTTCATTAAGATCATGATGATTATCATTACTGAACAATAAATTCATAGACTGTCAACTCTGCAATGTATTGGCTGAGCAATAATTTAAAAAAATAAAATTTGCAGATCTCCTGTCTGGTAACATCATGGAGTGACGCCTCTCAGCAATAAGATGTGAAAAAACCCTATAATATTTGGTTTATCTGTATGTACCTTTCACAGACTCCACATTAAGCTCAGTCAGTTACCTGAAGAAGAAGACTATTTGCTAGAATTAAATTATTCCTTTAAGCTAAAATTCATCACCACCACTCTGTAATTAATTTATTTAACCAAACTTCTGCACTGAGTAGCTTCAGGCAGCACCAGGAATCATCTTCCAATAGTTTCAGTGTTGTCCCCAAGGCCTGCATGGGTATGAAGGACTGTAGGGAAATCTCCCATCATCTCTTGGAGTGCTCAGTTTGAGGAGTCCTGGCACTGTCAGGGGCTGTGTGAGCATCATTGTCTGTCAGGGCTGCTGTGGCCATCACCGTGCTCAGCAGAGGGAAACAGCAGCACCCCAGGGAAGCAAATCCCAGCATTATTTCCCAGAGCTGTTTGAGTTGTCTGGATCCAACCTCGCTGCTTTCCTCTCTGCACATCATTTGTTCGCCACAGGTTTCAAACATATGTGTCAGGAATTAATTTATTCAGACTCTCATCTTCCTGAGGTGATTGTTGTTGTTTGGTTTGATGGAGGGGAGGAAACTGAGGTGGCACCTGGGGACCAGGGGATGCTGAGTGCAGGGTGGGTGGCAGCAGCACAGCCCTCAGAGGTGGGACAGGGACAGCAGGAAGGAAACGGTGCTGCCAAGGAAAATGCCTTTTAGCAAGGCTCATTTGGAAGGGGATTCTTCCCATGAGAGGCACTCGAGCTGATGAGATGAGAGGCACATTTTGGGATTTGACCAATATGTTTCATTACAAGTTTGGACCGCAAACCACAGAGGGTTTTGTAATGTATGTTTTTTTCATAAGCCAGGGGAAGTTGCTGCCATTACAGTAG